AACCCAACCCAACCCAACCCAATTCATCCCAACTCAATCCAACTGAAACCAACCCAATGAACCCAACCCAATCCAACTCAACCCAACCCAACTCAACCCAACCCAACTCATCCCAACCAAACCAAAGCCAACTCAACCCAACCCAACTCAATTCATGCCAACTCAACTCAACCTAACTCAACCCAATGAACCCAACCAAACTCAACCCAACTCATCCCAACCCAAGCCAAGCCAACCCAACTCATCCCAACCCAACCCAACCCAACCCAATGAACCCAACACAACTCAACCCAACCCAGCTCATCCCAATCCAACCCAACCAACTCATCCCAACCAAACCCAACTCAACCCATCCCAATTCTGCTCAACAAAACCCAACTCAACCCAACTCAACTCATCCCAACCAAACCCGACTCAATTCATCCCAGCCAACCCAACTGAACCCAACTCAACCCAATGCACCTCACCCCAACCCTCCCACCCCTCCCCAAACTCACCCTTCCCCTCCACACCGGGCCCGTACACCTTGACTCCGGCCGTATCCACGGCCGCCGGCGCCGGCTCCACACGCACGGTGCTGGGGAAGTGCGGCACGGGCTGCCCGCCGTACTCCACGGTGACGGTGTGCACGCCGGCGCTGCGCGGCGTGTAGGCGATGGTGTAAATACCGTCTCCGTTCTCCTCCACCCTCACCTCCGCCCGCGCCCCAGCTTCCGAGGCGATGCCGATGGTCAGCTCGGCCGTTCCCGCCCGGCTGCAGTCCACCCGGAAGCGCCCCGGCTGACCGGCCGTGGCCTTCTCCAAGCCCGGCCCTTCGCAGGTGACCTTGGAAGGGTCGAACTGTGGCCGGATGGGGGCGCGGAAGGGCGAGCCCGGGATGTGGGCGCCGGCGAACAGGATGTTGATGTTGTAGTCGCCGGGCTCCGTCGGCAGGTAGGACACGGAGCAGGTGCCGTCGCCGTTGTCCTGGCACTCGATTTTGGCCTCGCAGGGTCCCTCCACGGTCAGCCCCAAACCTCCCGTGCCGGCGCCTTTGGTGTCGATGGTGAACGGGGCGGGAACCCCAGCCAGACCCCCCTGGAGACCGGGGCCGAAGGCACGGACCTGGGGGGATGGGAAGGTTGGGATGGGTTGGGTTGAGTTGGGTTGGGTTGGGTTGAGTTGGGTTGAGTGAGTTGGGTTGGGTTGAGTTGGGTTGTGTTGGGTTGAGTTGAGTTGGGTTGAGTTGGGTTGAGTTGGGTTGGATTGAGTTGGGTTGGGTTGGGTTGAGTTGGGTTGAGTTGGGTTGAGTTGAGGTGGGGTGGGTTGAGTTGGGTTGAGTTG